ATCGTACGGGCAGCGTTTCCAAGAGGAGAGGAACATTCGGAGGTAACGATCGGGCTCTCTATTAATTGTTGAATCGCCAACCGTGTTGGCAAACGTGTTTCGACGGTTTCACTTTGACAGTTTTGCACGGTGCACGGTGTTATTCGCTGTCGGCACCGTTCGATAATAAATAACTCGGCGATTCCGCGGAGAGAACACGGAGGTGAGGCCACTCCACATCCTGGCGATGCCAGATGAGTATAATATAAGCGTGGCGACGCGCTTCCGCTCTTTAGCCGCTTATTAAACGCACTCGGCGATTCGCGCGATGATTCGTGGAATTATCAGACGCGTGTCCACTGGAAACCGAGCCCATCGGAAACGTCGTTTTCCCACATTTTTCGTCATCTTAATATCACCTTTTCCAGTTCCAGGCTCTCTTCTATTTAAATTATTATCTTATTTAAACAAAATTAAACTAATTAATTCTTATTTAAATATAATATTATTAAAGGGAATATTATCTTATTTAATATCTGGTAGTGTGATAAATTAATAGTGATCTTCTTTGAATTAGGAATTTAGAGACTATTAATTAAAAATCGAAGGAGAGTCACTTATTTAAACAAGCGAATTAGACGAATTTCATTAAGTGGAGGCAAATAACGATACGACGTCGACTACAATTTGAAGAGATAAGCTTCGGAGACTCGACTTTTTCTATATCGTTACAGGCGAGTGCACGATTGAATTTGAAATTTTCTTCTGTCCGTTCCAGTAGTTTCGTTATTCTAAATTATAATTATTTCTATAGGGAATATTTAAATACGTAAATACAGAATGGTAATTGAAATGTTAACTCAGATGTACTTATCATTCTTCCACAACTTGTGCAGTAGAATATGCCGTAGTGATCAGACGTTGTCAGCTAACCCGTCGACAGCTAACCCATTGGAGAAAATTCTGATTCCTGATTTTCACTTATGAAAATCGTTTCTGAATTCATTTGCATTGAATGTTATTTCAATCCCAGTCTGTTTCTACGTGGTCGATCAATCAATCGTATACGTTGCATTACATTTTATTTTTTTTTTCCACCCCTAGGACATTCGGTTCCGTTGTAAAATGATGAATATACATTCTTAATAAGAATACAATTTTGAAAATATCTCGACGTTATTGCTTGGAACAAACGTCGATCACAATATTCACTCTACTTATCGCGGGTACATTGTTCAAATCATCCAAAATCAGCCTGAAAATCAGTTCGTAAAGTCGATCTTCCAAAAAATGGGAGAAAAATCATTAGTCCCCGAAAGCGAGTTGGATCGGGGTGTTTGGAGCCCTCTTGGTCCCCACGTGGGTCTCGAGCGTCGCGAAACGGAGAACGAAGAGAGAAAGAGAGAGAGAGAGAGAGAGAG